AGCTTGGATATTATTGGTCAAAGTGTTTCCAGGCAAAAGAATCAGCTGGATGTCTCATTACACTATCATCTATACGTTTCTCCTCATGCCACCTCATTTCTTTAGCCGTGTCCCTTGCCATATAAAGCCTCTGTAGTCTAGGTGTTACTAGAAAATGCCTCAAGACCTTTTATGGAACATTTTCCCTTTTTTTTTTCTTTACTTCCGTCAAGGCATCTTGCACTTAGGACATAATTTTGCATTTTCATGCTTCCCCCGATATAATATACAATCATTTCCACAAGCATCAATTTTGTTATAATCTAAGCCCAAATCATGAATTATCTTCTTAGCTTCATATAAAGAGTTTGGGATTAAAGCCCCTTCTAGGAGAATATCCTTAAGTAAGGCCCATAATGCATCCATAGATTTATTACTCCAATGGTTAAGGCACTTTAACTGAAATAGCTTCACAATAAAAGATAATTTTGAGATCTTACCATAACCAGGATAGAGTTCTGTTTATGTATCTTTTAATAAGTCAAAGAACTTTTTAGCATGGACATTAGGCTCCTCATCCTCATTTAACCCAATATTCATATCCCCTACATACAGAACTCTATATGCTTCACATACCATCCTTACAAGGTTCTCCTCCTCCTAAGTATCATTTTCTACCATGTTATTAGAAGTCTCAAAATCTGTTGAAAATCTTCTAATTTCCCCATGCAAGTCCCACACTTTATAACTATCCCAAAAACCTTTGGTTAATAAGTCTGTCCTAACATCTCTCTTCACTTTGAATATAACATTCATACATTTTTTGCAAGGACATCGTATTTTGTTTGGCACCCCATGTTGACTAAATGCCCATTCTAGAAAGCCATCTACTCCTCTAATATATGTTGAACAGCTTCTATCTTTAATATGTAGCCAACTTTTATCCATATATATCCCCTATAAAGTTCAAGATCATCAATATATCTATTTCAAATCTCATTAAAATTAAATAGGCATGATATATGAAAAATAAAGGGAAAATCAAATGCAAGTTTTATGCAACACTAATATGCCTTGTATATTGGCTCAAAAGCAAAAATTTAAGAAACCAACAAATATCTCAACAAATAATAGATTTTATTGCCACTACTAACAAGGAAAAATAAAGTCTTGCAAATATATCGTATTACCATAATTTCATCATGTAATTTAATTATTTTTAAATATTCACAGTAATGCTACATGTTATTACCCTGTACAACAGTATGATTGCATAGTTTTAAGTGCACAAATCATTTCATAAAATATGTTGCCATTTTCCCAAGTACAGAACATTTCTTTATAGTATTCTAACTCATTCAGTTTTAAGAGTACATAACTATATTTGTGTTCATTGTAGTTATTTTTTTGTTATGTACAGATAGCAAGGGATCAAGTTAGTTCAGAATCAATGTATGCACACTCATAGATGGCACACAATATAATGAAGCAGGCTGTTCTACTAGGTTTATTCATGTGCCAAATTGGATATGAAGAGCTTTTCTGTTGGGTTTATTCATGACACATAATATAATGAAAATGACTTTATTGTTCAAGACATATGAGGTAATTAATTCAAAATGTGTTTTCAATGGTAAATTTTTTGGAAAAATGAATAGGGAAACAAACGATGACTAAAGCAAATGGATCCCTAAAAGACTCAGTTTGTGGTATGAAGCTAAATTTACACTTGCTAATTATAACGATAAAGACAATAAAAACAAGCTCACCTAAATAATTTTAACTGATGAACGTAACCTTAAAGTAAGGTATAAACAGCAATAAGTGGCTGTTTGTAAAGCCTCTAATATAATTAACTAGTATACCTCAGAGGCCTATGAGCTTGAGCTAATTATAAGGTGAGACCATTACTATCAATAAGAGTCAATAATAAGTATGCACTAGAGTCAATAAACCTGCATTTTCAACTTGATAAGAAGCTCAAACTCTAAGTCTACAAGCGGCCTATCTTGGGTTACATCAAATGAAAAACTACAAATGAGCTAATGCAATAACTTTGAAGTTTAGACACGGCCTCTCATGCTTCTTTAACCATCCCCATGCAGGACAATCAAGACCCAAGATTCAAGCCGTTCAAATTTAACCCAAGATGGGCCTTTGTACTTGCAGGATTGAAATAACTATAGAGTGGTTGAAATTTAAAGCTAAAGAATCAATATATTACTAATATAAATCATGGATAGTATAGCTCATTCCTTTGACTTCATGCAATGTTAGGCAGGAAAGGGGTTTAGTAATTAGCAAACATAAAGGTTCCCACTTCTTGAGGGAGGATGGGAATTGCTATACATATTACATAGGCATTTCATGGATAAAGACTAGGAAAAGCTTACAAATGCCATTACATAATTCGATTAGCAGAACATGTATGATAACCATTAATAGCCAGAGTGCCTGAAAATTTAAACACATCTTTGCCCTCTTGTTTTCTGTATACATTGTACCTAATGACTAAAATAATGGAGAGAACTTTTTGGGGACTCTTTATGGATTTTTTTTCAAGTTAGGGGCTAGGGGGTTAGGCTAGCAGATAGACGTTTCAGGTAGTAAGATTAACCATACAATCAGAGGGCCTAAACAAAAACTAGTGTCTTAATGAGATAGGCAAGTCAGAAAACAAACCAGCAAGCAATCTTCAAAGCTCAATAAAAGAAGAGGATTATCAAGTTTTGACAATCAAACTGGCTGAATTGAAAAATAAATACATAATACATATAGAGCTGGGGGTGGCAAAGAGAAGTGATGATGGTACAAAATCCTTGCTTTGATGATGATGATAACGATAAGTCCACTAACCTGGTATTATTGACAGCCACAGTAGCTAGCTTCAAGCCTTGAAGAAGAGAATTCGAAGAGGAAAGATAGAGGCTTTGAGAAAATAGCACAAAGTAACAAATTGGATTTCTGAACGAAGTGGAGCGAGTAAAAACTTGGGATATGAGAAAGCCCCTACCTTGAGAATGGAGGGGAGTGACTGGGATTTGAGGATTTAGGGTTTTCTTCTTTCATTTTTTAGAGGCCGTGCTAGTTTTAGAGTCTGAGAGGGAAAGTAAAAATTTGGCGAAGCTGGGCGCCTAGGCAGGTTAAATGAATTGCTGGTTTTAGCTTATAAAATGTTAAAGCATCCTATAATAAATAATTCATTAAAAGCTAACCAAAGGCACGTGGCTTTGTTGGCAAGAGAGGCACTCAAGATTGATAGCAATAGCAATGTGTGTTCGAATCCCTCTACCGATGTTATGCATTTATTTTTTCAAAAAAAATTTTTGGCTTGATATTTTTTTGAAAATTGACATATTGAAAATGAAAAATGTCCCTCCTTGTACTTAGTGGGATTCGAACGCAAGACCAGCTAGGTGAACACAGACAAAGTTACCAAACATACTAATGTATTTTGATAATGGTGTTTGACATCATACATTTATATATAATACGCAGGTACATGTGTTTTAGTAAATTTTAATTAATCACATTTTAACCAAAAAAATCAATAGTAATACTATTTAATTGATTAACTATATACATGACTTTATTAGCTATCTCTCTCACACATACTTTAACTAATTATATTATCTTCTTCAATTATATTATTTCTTAGCCATCTCATATAGATGTTCATTGTCAAAGTGATTATTATGTTATACAAATATACCCAAACTAATTTAATTATAATCATCTCTCCATAAACTTAACTATATTATGCCTTTTAGTTATAATATCCTTCTCACACACACACATCCTATCTCCCTTTCAATTATATTACCTCTACCTTGCACCCCCCCACTACTTTCTCCTCTTGCCTTACCTCACAAACATACATCTCACTCTCATGCATGCTTCCGCTTCATTCCTCCATAGACAATATCATTTAATTCTATCTTTTACACATATAATTATAATATATCTATTTTATACATACTATGCACTCCCTCCCTCTCCCTTTGTCTCTCAAATACCACATTAACTTGCCCTAAGTCTCTCTCTATCGCAATAATACAGGAAAAAATATTAGATATCAAAGTTAGTTACATTAGTAACAAAGTATATAAATGTATTATAATTTTTTTAAGAACATAAATATAAACCTCAAAAAACTTTTAGCGACGACGTCATACCTTTGGTGGTGACAAAAAAAAGTCGTCATTGAAAGTTGATACTTTTAGCGGTGACACATTTAGTCACCGTTGAAAGTTGACCCTTTGGCAGTGACAAATGTTATTGCTACCAAAGGTTGAAACTTTCAATGGCGACATCTTAATGTCACTGCCGTTATAGACACTTGTCATCGCTAAAAATCTAACTTTCAGAGGTGACAAAAAAAGTCGCCGCCGAAAGTCATTGCTGGAAATAATTTTTTTTTGTAGTGCTTCTTGGGTGTTCTGCCTTTCGAGATGATATTATGCTGGACAAGACAAACCTACAGCAGACTCTCAATCATTTACCAAAAGGGTTTATTTTCTTGAAGTTATTTGAGATGCAAAATACAAAGAAATAGATAAGAAAATACTATGAGAGTTAGTTGACTAATTTGAGTAAATTAAAAAAAGTAGTTAATTTAGTTATTTGTAATAAATAGGGGTTTTATTTCCTAAAACATCCTTGCTAATCAAGTATATTGGCTAGAACTACAATTATTACAAAGACTACCTTGGGAAAATAGATAAATATAAGAAACAAAATGGATTAGAATCTTATATTTAGGACCAAAATAAAAGTCGAACAAGCTCTTATATTAAGGACTAGAAGTAGTATAAAATAAGCAAGCTTCTTACATAAAAAAATATATTAAGAACTCAATTACTAATACGTACTGATTAATAATAATAAATTAAAAACAAACTATATAGGACATATATGGATTTTTATATAAAATATGTAGCCCATCACTGCCAAATGACAATTTTATGGGTGAATATAAAGCCTATTGGCCTACTTAAATTGCCTTAAGGCATCTTCTTAAATTAGTACCAAAGAGAATGTTGGCGTTGAAGTTTCTTTTTATTTTCGCCCCTGCGTCCATTATCAGAGAGGCATCCAAACTCAACTTTCTTATTATCATAATTGGCTCTAAAACCGCCATTGCTGCTACCAGTAATTCTTGAGCAGATTCTGTTGACAAACCCTAACTTTTGTTTCTCTTTTGGTTTATCATCATCGTCATCCTCCACATCAGAACCCACCAAATAATCTCTTTCTTCAACAGAAGGGTCATCCCAAAGTTGGTTCTCGTCCTCATTATGATTATACATATTCTTCTTCCTGAAGACCAACGTGTTTTCATCTGACCATATTCCTCCGTGAGAATAATCTTTGATGGGAGAAAATGGATTCTTGTTGGGGTCAGTAACGGAGTCAAAATAAGTTGGAGTGGCGGTCGAGGAGGAGTATGGAGAGAAAGAAGAGGCAGAATGTGGCTCGGAAGAAGATGAACTGCTTGATGCTGATGAAGGAGAGTACTCTGAACTTCCAAAGCCTTGGATTTCATTGGTTATTTTCAGAGCCTTCAAGCGTGCTTCTCTTAGTGTGGGTCCACCTTGTAACAGTTTCAGTATTTGGCCAGATATTTTCTGCATCCTTGCTCCCCAGTTAAACCTGCCACAAGTTTATACTTTTTTATTAGTATTACCAAATTGCAATAATAAGTATAAATTATTAATTATAGAATATTATAGAGAATATATGTGTGTACGTGGGGGAATTAGAAAGGTACCCTGTTTCATCAATGTGAGTGAAACTTCCGAGTTCCTCAATGACTTCAGAATCACATTGAAACTCAACAGCAAACTGCTCTGGGCCATGGGTTAGCAAGAACTCAAGCAGCACCAGCGCTTTATAAGATCGCCTCCACTCCTCGGTGTTAAAGCACCCCAATCTATATATATTTCAATATATATTCATTATTAACTAAAATAATAGTCACAGCAATAATATATAAAGCAATATAATTATTATATATATATATAAGGTAATTAAAAAAGAAGAATGACCTTTGGTGAAGGACATCAACAATTCTCCAGTAATCGTCGGCCTCAAAGGATGCTTCAGCAATTCTTGTCATGGTTTTGGCATCTGGGCTACACGGTTCCTTATTTGTTGCCTCCTCAGCCAGCCTATATGTGTGTGTGTGTGATAGTTATTCTCCCTGTCAGCATTTCATCCGTCTTCTCATTTAATTAATTATTTGTGCCATTATTTATGCGAATCTCAACCATCGATTGGTGTATCATAAAGCCAGGGTGTTTAATAAATTTATAAGTCAGTTTTTTCCTTAAAATATTTGGTGCTATAAGATATTTCTCTGGTCTTTAATGTGAGACTTATTTAATTAATTTCACTAGATTAAAGAAGTTAAGAAAGTTAGTTAATTATAAGAAATATAACATATTTTTATTAAAACACCATAATCATCTTCTTTGATATCCTCCTCCCTCTCGTACTTGATTATTGTTGAAAGAGTATCAATAGGGTTAATTTAGAAAAAAATTAAGAAAAAATGAAAACTAGATCTTACATTTAAGATCAAGATCAACTTAACAATTAGATCCTATATCAAAAACTAGATGTCACATCCCGAATTTTGGGCCTAGAAGTACCAGAATTAGCCTCAATTAGGCAGACTGCTAGACCTTTTTTGGCAGAGGTCCCAGAGATTCCCTGGAGGGACGAAGGGATTCCTAGGGACTAAATCGCAAAGGGAAAGTTTTTTGGGAGTGAGAAAAGAGGATGTTAGAGGTTCAGAAGAAGTCTCGAGGCCCAGAAATGAGAAATAGAGATAGATGTAGGCCAAAGGTTATGTTGGAAGCCTCAAGGAGGTGAATTTTGAGGTTAAGCCAAACCAAGGGCAAAATTGTAATTTTGTAAAGTTTCAGGCTGATAGGGGTAAAAATGAAAATTATACCCGAAAATCCCAGAAAATGGGAAATGGTAGGTTAAGGCCTGAACACTTTATAAAAATTCTAAAAAAATGGGAACAATGTTCAGAGGCCTATATGAGGCAAAAAATGACGAAAATGCCCCTAGAAGGAATTTGTGGAATTCCCAGGGTTTTGATTGATTTTGAATATTATTGAAAATAAATTATTTAAAGTATAAGGAGGCCTCATATAATTGGAAGAAAGGGGAGAAAATACTTGAGGAATTATTATGGGTTTTAAAAATAATTCCGTCCCTAAAAAGCAAAGATGTTGGCTTTAATGGAATTTAAAGCCTATTTACATACTATCGAGGGAAAGTCAAAGTCAAATGTCTAGAAGTTGACTTTAGACTTAAGAAAAATTAAAAGAATTTCCTGTGATGAATAAATAGTATTGGTACCTAGAGACAAATTCTCGAAGTTATAGACCAGTAGAAAGAATTCGGTTAAGTTCACTCTGAAATAGATATTATTAATTATTTAATTATTTTAATGGAAGAACAAGGGAAGAGCATCACTCTCTCTTTGCGCATGTTATATAGTGCCATGTGAATTTATTTGAGGTGAGAAAATAGTGCCAGAACATGTCCCAGTGGTTCTGGAAAAGTCAGGACCTTAAAAAGTACCCTATATAGTGCAGAATGGCAAGATAGCTGGAGGAATACCTAAGGGTTATATTTTGCACGAATTTTATATTAATTTTCTCCCTATTTTGATGCCAAAATGATGAAGGAATATGGAGGAGACAAGTGTATGGTTAGATGGGAAAAGAAGATATTACGTGTACGGCTGAATGCAAGACACGTGTACGGTCGGAGGCAAGACACATGTACGATTGGATTAAAGGCATGTGAATTGATTATGTAAGCATGATGTCATCAAGACAATGTAAGCATGATGTCATGAGACACTTGTCACCACAAGATTAAAAGAGGAATGGACAGTCCAGATCAAGCCACGTATTTTTAAGATCAACGGTCCAAATTCAATCTTGTTTTCTATAAATACCCCTCCCCTCCCTCTCATTTCGTCCTAAGCAATGGAAACTTTACGGAAGCTCTGGCAAAATGGTTTCTAGAAAGGAAAGAAGAGGGAGAAAGAATGGCCAAGTGGTCCCATGCAAGATCAAGCTCTAAAATAAGGCATGTTCATGGTTTTTGATATAGTTTTCACTACTCTTGTTGTTGTTGAGCTTGGCTATGGATTTTAATGAGTTTTGGGAGCTTGGAACCCTTGGGGAAGTTGTTGCATGAAATTTTGAAGCGTGAGGGGAGATGAAATTGATGTTAGATTAATGTTCAAAAGCTTGAAAGGAACACGAATCAAGTAGTTTTATGCTAAAATTAGTTGAATTTCATGATTGTGTAACTTGAGGAAATATTTCTGCCAGACCTGGTTCTTGTGCTTAGGATGTAATTTTGATGATTTTGATTCTTCTAATGTGTTTAAAATGAAAAATTGTGTAGGCATAAGATAAAAGAATGAAGTTGGAAGCATTGGAATCAAAACCGAAAATTAAGTGGCAGATTTCGGTTTTGGCCTAGAACTAGGGAAAGTAATTGGATTTTGATGAATCTAAGCTCATATTTGGATTCTTTGGGTAAGATTGTGTAGGATTGGCCTAAGGAAACAATTTTTACAAAGCTAGAACACTACATTATAAATTAAGGAAAAAGGATTAAGTTTAAAGACATAAGTCTTCAATGTTGTGTAATTCTTGGTCCAAATGAGTAATATGACCCTTGTGGCTGTGATTAGGATTTTGAGACATCTAAGAGAAGGTTTGAATGTGGTTGACTAAAACCTAGATGGTTGGGAAGCTTAGGGAGCAAGTTGAAGAACAAGAAAAAGTTTAAAGACACAAGGTAGCAAACTTTACCCTACTCTTATGTGCTTGGTATTTATTTGCATGTATGACATGTTCTATATTTATATGGTTTTATGAACTCATCTATTGTGATTGTGAATATGTTTGAAATGTTTCATAGGCCTGTGTGTTTTATGGTTAATGTATGATGCTTTCCAAACATGTCACTATTTCATAGAAATGTTAAGTTGCAAGCATGTTATGAATGCCAAACTTGCCATGTATGTTTGGGTGGTTATTATTTGCTACTGAGATTCTCCCGAATCTCATCCTCCTTTAACCAACTATAGTAGGTCAAATGACAAAGAGAAGGAATGCATGAAGAAGGGCAAGAAGATGGAACCAATAAGAGTAGAGAATTTACATGCGTTTCAATGTAGTGATTGACATCGCTAATTATGTAATTAATTGTAGATATGTCAAGCATGAAATGTCATGTAATGTTTGATGTATAATGTAATGACATGTAACTCAAAGTATATGAATGAATGGGAATTCATAAAGCTAGTTGTTGCATGTTTGAATGAAGGGAGACTTAGAGTAAGAATTGTTGATGGATAAAACATAGGTCCTGTAGCAGTTAGTTTCTAGCTCCTGTTTGACCTATAGTTAAAGCATGAAATTTGTCATGATTAAAGTACACATCTTGCACTTTAAAACAAGTGGTAGATCACTTAAAAAGGATGTGTGTGTTAAGAGTTATGACTGCTCAAATTTGGATGAAAAGTCTGGAATTTAACTAGTGAACAGTACCCAAGAACCAATCACAAAGTTTAATATACGGGCTTGGTTAATGAATCGGTTGAACCGTAACACTTCCAAACGCATACTCTGAGAGGTCAAAGGAAGAATGTTTCACTAGAGGAGTATTAGCTAGGCATCACAAATAGGTCGCAAAAGTCCAAAGAAAATGAAAGAAATAAAGAATTAATTAACTGATAACAGCCTTGACATTCATTTTAGTTGAATTTAATTATTAACCACTCACATTTAGTTCAATTCCATGCATCAGGATTAGTTCAATTCTATCCTTATAATCTTGATGCATTTTCCTGATTCCAGTATTTGGTTTTCACATTAAAATAATCTAACGTAATCCTAATTACAATAGAATACAGCAAATCAAGTAATCCTCAATGCATAACTTACATGTAATCTGGATATTAAAGCTCATATTTAGATAATTATGCCCTCCATTTTTGGACTCGATAGAGTAAAAAGATCATTTCGTGCTTAACTTTATTTTCATCTAGATAAAATATAAATTTCATTTCATGACTTCTTGATGTTACATTAAACAATTATTCTGTAATCATCCTATTACATTTCGCAGCAATGCATTCCCTGTGATTTTTTGAACCAAAAAGGAGCACACATACTATTCTAAATCTTACTTATAAGAAAATTAAATATATGTTTTCTCAGACAGAAAAGGGCAAAAAATAAAATAAAGTAAAAACGAAGGCACTTACAGTTCGGCTTCAGTAACATCTGTAAATTTCAACCGGGCAACTTTGTACTTTTCTTGTAGAAAAAACGAAGTTTGCTTCTTGATTTGCCTAAGAAATGGGGTGCCCATTGTACTACCAAAAGCAAACTTCACAATCTGTGTTTGTGCCAAGAAAGTGATTTTTATGATAAGTAAACAAAAATAATATTCTAGGAAATATTTGTTTAAACCCATACAAGTGATTCAATCCTCCCATTATAAAGAGATAAGGCACAGAATTCAACTTCACAAATGATCATACAAGAGACAAAGAAGGAAGGAACACCAAATTTATGGATTGCCATAATTGTCGAAGTGCAATATAGAGAAACAAAATGGAAGAACCAAAACGAAATAGAGAATGAAACCAATTTTAGAAAACATGACTGAGTCCGAGTACAATCCATGATTTTGTCTCTATCATGCAGCACCATAAATTTTTTATATTCACTTTTATATAAATAAAACTATTTTTTGATATAAGTTTAAGGGAAAATCCCAAAAAAGGTCCTTGGAATATGAGAAATGCCAGATTGGGTCCTTAAATTTCGAAAATGACAGAATGGGTCATTGACCCAATCTGTCATTTGTGAAATTCAGGCGAATTGACAATTTTGCCCTCATTTATTCATTCACTACAATGATTCAAGGAATCACTATAAGAGTTTAGGTGTTACCTAGATTCGTATAGCGAATAACTATTCACTTTTTCATAGTCAGGTGTCTTGTTATTAACTACAACTAATGTTGTAATCACTAGAACAATGTAAGCATTACCTAGATTTGTGTAGAGAATAACTACTCATTTTTTCATAGTCAGGTATCTTATTATTATCAGGTACATTATTATTAACTACAACGAATCTTGTAATCACTAGAACAGTGTAAGCGTTACCTAGATTTGTTTAGAGAATAACTATTCACTTTTGCTCAGGGGCAAAAATGTCAATTCGTCTGAATTTCACAAATGACAGATTGGGTCAATGACCCATTCTGTCATTTTCGAAATTTAAGGGCCCAATCTGGGATTTGGTATATTCCAATGGCTTTTTCTGGGATTTTCCCTAAGTTTAATGTGATAATCACGGTGACTTTTATAAATTTATATTTAAAAAAAAAACTGTGTCAACAGTTTCAACTAAACAATTGATTTTTCTTGACAGAGATAAGAGAAAATAACTAAAAAGGAACCTTGAAAGAAGGAAATTTCAAAAATTATATTGAAGCTAAAACTTCCAAATGATAGGGAAGGAAGGAAAGTCTAAACTGAAATTATGAAAATATGAGGAAGTAACGAATATGCCCTTGTGTGATGCTCAAAAGAGTGCTATTATTATGTATTTCAAACTTATTTATGTTTCAGTCTTATTATTTTCATATCAAATTTAGCCATTTTCCCAAATGGACATATGCTTTCACCTAAGAAAATGATGTTATTATTTATTCCAAATTTGTTAATTTATCCTGCAATCTTATTATTTTCAAATCAAATCGAGTTATTTTCCCAAACTGTCGTAAGGGCATGTTAGTCATTTTTTCATATTTCTATAATTCCAGTTCATGTTTTTTTCTCCGTCATTTGGAAGTGTTAGATGCTCTTTTTAGAATTTTATATTTTCAAGGTTCCTTTTTGGTCATTTTTCACACAGATAATATATAATGAAATCTGACATTTGGAAATAAAGTGCTAAAAAAAGAACCCTAATAGGAGGAGTGATCTAGAGGAATCCTCACGGGGTTTAGTTTGGAACGCTTCAAAAGCCAATGTGCTTACTAATAAAAAAAATTAAAAAAAAACTTACGAAATCAATAAAAATCAGTCAAGAAGATGTTAAAAAAATAAGAATAAGTAAAAGGAATTTTTTCCCCTCAATTTTTATGTATAAAAGTAAAAATATATTACCTGATAAAAGACTAGGCACTAGAGCATTTACCGATCTAATAATTGGTCCAACTTTTTTAGATTAGCGGGAAAGAAGATAACAAAAAATTTTCATTTCAAAACCAAAATAATATCAACTTCGGTCCTTAATATAATACTACTTCCGGTCCTTAATATAGAATTCCATTTGATTTTTATTTTGGTCCTAAATATAAGATCTCTATCCACTTTATCTCTCATATTTATGCATTGTTTTCCAAGATAGTTCTTCTAATAATGGTAGTTCTAACCAATACACTTAATTATTAAGGATATTTTGGAAAAGACAATACCTATTTATTACAAATAATTAATTTAATTTATTTTTTAATTTCCTCAAATTAGTCAATTAGCTCTTATAATTAAGACCAGAAGTAGTAGTTTGTTAACAAATTTGAGCATATTAAGAAATTAATCAAGTTAGTTATTTATAATAAATAAGTATTGTTTTTCCTAAAATTCTTACTAATAAAGTATATTGGTTAAAATTACCATTATTAGAAGAACCACCTTGGGAAAAAAAAAGATAAATATGATAGACAAGGTGAATTGGGCTATTATATTTAAAATCAAAATAAAAACCAAACAAGCTCTTATATTAAGGATTGGAGGTAGTATGATGTTTGCAAATTGAAGTTGGATAAATGCATAAGCAAGCTTGAGAATTGTGCTTTGGATTATGAAGTTAGGATGCTCGATTATCATCCTCAATAGTCAACAAGCATTATGGTATCGTTAAATTAAAGCATACCAGCAAAGAAATGCCAAATATTTATCAATGTAGATTAAAGTAGTAATTTTTGTTTATTATATTGTACTAAAGTACTCCTTCCCTCCACCTTTTTTTATAAGAGACAATTTGTAAAGTATGACGCGTGCTCTTTTATAAGAGATATTCAGAGGTTTTCTCAAAATTTTTTCGTTGATTTTTCATTTTATCCTTATTTAGTTATTCATATTACTAGTATCACTATAATTAATTCTCACATATTCTCTCTCCACCACACATTTTTTCATTCTACATAAACGAGGGTATTTTTCACAGAGAGAAAAATTACATTCTTTACACATTTATTATCTTCAACTAATTAGTTTGTAATTTGACTAATTGTCTCTTGTGAAACAAACGAATGGGGGAGTAGTAATCAAGACTCTTTATTATTAGAAAACATAAAAATAAAAATATAATTTTGACTTTAAAGCAAGAAGAGTTTAGATTGAGAGTTCGCATATGGCTAGTGGCTACTATTAAAGTCAAATCATTACAATCAAATATAAAGGACACATAATCTCAAAACAAAAATTGATTGACTATATTATATGGTCGGGAAATATTATTGGTTTTTTTCCAAAAAATTGTAGCAGCAATCCACAAAGCATCATATTGTATATTCAAAAAAAAAAATTGAAGCCATTTTTCTTTCAATCAGTCGAATCGAATAATGATGCACGAGATGTTGCTTTTGCTCATTCTATTCAAAGCTTCATTAGCCAAACATTTAGCAGCTTCGTTGGGATTCTCTATGTGCCTTATGAGATTCACTGCCTCTTGATTCTTCATCACCTGCATATACAATTTTAGAAGACATATAATTATCATTAAAATCACCAAATACTTCAAAAATATTTCTTTTTGGGGTAAATCCGCATCATTTCTCTTAAGAACTGTTCAGCCACTTACGTCCCATATGCCATTGCTGGCTAAGATCAAAAATTCAGTATCAGAATCAATCTTTTCAGCTCTGACCACAAGTTCCGAACTTCTATATTGCCTTCTACCTGCATGTACAGAGTATCCTCATATCAGAAACAACATGTTTGACGCAGGTCGAGCACCACTTAGAATTAACTGTGAATATATATATATATATATATATATATATACCTGAAAAGAGTTTGTGAGTCCAATGGGGTGTTTTGCGCACGTGTTGTGGACTGGGATCTGTGTGATAAGCAATCCCATCTCTACACACAACAGCTTTGCAATGTCCGGTTTGTGCCGTCACAAGCTTTTCGCCATTGATGACCATTGCTGATACTGAGCTGATCTGGTGACTCATCGTCTCTTCCTCTGGTCTCATCTTTGATGTTAAACTCAAATATGCTCTTTTCATTGTTTCCTTGCATTTTCTACTTATGTGTGACTATGCAATCAAGTCAATCGAGTAGAGTCAGAAAACAAAAGAAGATCCTTTTGGCAAAAAAAAAAAAAATGAAAATAAAAGAATATCGATTTTGGCTCAATTGAAATCAAGCAACAAGTGCACATTTCACCATATATAATTTTGAAAAAAACAATTAATCTATAACTTTGCTATAAAAACTAATGGCTACAATTAAAGAAATTGTAACGGTTAAACAAAAAAAATTATAGAGACTAAATTAAAATTTACGTAAAAGTATAAGAACTGAGACAAATCAGTTCTTTAAATAGAGTTTGAGAAAGATATGACAAATTATGATAAAAACAGTAAAAGACACCAAAAATTCAATCGCAAATATTTCCGGTTGTAAGAGCTTTTAGCTTCTCTTTTCTTTTCCTTTTTTAGGGCTTTTATTTGTAGGGCCCATTTGTGCTGAAGCTTAAAAAAGAAAGGCCTAGTAAAAAAAATTAGTCTCTCGCTGGCTAATGTTCAAATTCTCACTGGAAGAAATACTCATAATTAGTATCTAACAATGCCGCAAATAGAATTACTTTTAATAAAAAGATATCTATACACAGAAAAAAGAAACACACACAACAAGAATGTTTGTGATCAATAATCGATAATAAAAATATAACAAATATCTCTAAAAATTGTGATTTAAATAAAAAGTAGATTATTTTTTTGTTTAAAAAATAGTAGACTATTTGAATTGAAGTTAGTTCATTTTGATTTTTGATAGCGTGAAATCTGGTTTTGGAATTTAAGATCTACACTTTATACTTTTACTCATTTGTGAGTACTTTCATATCTCTCTTAACTTCACAAAGATATTTTGCCATTTACAAAACAGATCCCAAATCTTACTGGTCTAACCGGCCCATCCAATCCAAGTTAGATTTTAATACTTTGTTGTTAACTAACAAGATCTCAAGTCAGCACAAAAAATTATGAATCAAATTCTCATCAAATGAATCGGCTTCGATTACACACACACACATATGAAACCAGTTTGATTGAATAACAAAAATTAAGGGTTTAATTGAAAGGATTATTAGTTTACCTCTTTAAGCTGCTTCTGAAATAAATGGGACTGCATATACTTGGTGACGCCATCTCCAATTAGAGCGTCAAATATTCCAAAATACCAGAGTTCTGTGTTTTCCGTCTGTTGTTCTCTCTGCACCACAACTGATGAATCATTCTCATGCTCATCGGAACAGTATCCTCCGATTATCCCCCGATCGATCACTTGGTAGCCATGTGACACTGCTGGGTTCATCCATGACGGCTTCTTCTTCGTCGTCCTCCTCCTCCTCCTCCCTCCATTAAACCCCCACACTAATCGCTTTAGACGTAATGCCTGTGCAATATTCACACAACATCATGACCGAGTAAAAGTATCGAACACACTATCATTAAGGGTTATTCCATCAAATACGGTATAAGAAATTTGGGAACAACCCATCCTCTGGAAAGTTTCTTTGGATTCTCTTTTCTAATATGAAATCTACAAAAAGAAGAAGAAGAAGGCGTACCTTGAGCTTGAGATGAAGATCTCTGAGTCTCATGTTTATTTTTTGCCCCTAACTTGTCTGCATCATTTGACTGTTTCTTCTTTCTTCATATAGAGAAGAACAAGACCCTTCTTATCGTGGTGTGAATGTAATATAATAAAGTTTATGTTTGGAAAATGTTCTTCAAGAGAGGTTTAGGGTCAACAAATGTTTAGAAATGAATTGAATTGGTAGTATTAATTGACTTTGATTATCAGTTAGGCACAGATTTTGAATGTCAAATTAAATAACGTTCTGAACCGTCAAGATATTGTGGACCATAATAAACAACAACTCTTCATACCCAACTCACAGCCTAGAAATTTATTATGAGCATTTTATGCTTTTTCCTATTGTAATATTGTTTTTGTTTGTTCTGGGAAGCAACCCTGTTTTTGAATATTCTGCTTTAATTATCATATTTTCAAATCTTAAATTTTTGAATCACAAATAGGAAACTCAGATATAATAATATCCAAAGAAGTTTCTAAAAATAAACTTTCACGTAAATTTAAACTATTTTAATTTGAAATTTTTTACGGAGAAATGAGATCAGTTACCAGATAGAGGAATTTTTTTTAAGTTTATTTGTTTTCAAAATAAGGTCGTTAAAATTAATATGGATAAATTAATTTATATTCTTTATGAGTCTTTCCAATAAACTAAAGAGCGAGAGAGACTTTTTTTTTAAAATTTCCTTTTAAAGCATTAAAAATTGAAAAGTTTAAAGTTCACATTAAAACATAGTGCTCATCCCTTCTTAAATATAGAGGCTAGAAGATTTTTTTTTTTGGTGATAAACGAATGGGGTGTTAATTTTATTTCAAATATAACTTCTCGATTTATTTTTCAAACTAACTTATTTAACCCATAAATTGAGATATAATTTAATATTATACCATAATATTTTAGAAAGAACAAGTTGCATTTGTTATAATTAACTAATTCAGCATTTTTAGTCTATCCAAATTGATTGAATATCTCTTATATTAAAAATCAGATGAGTGCTCAGTCCCAAAAAAAAAAATCAGACGAGTACAATATTAAAATATTAAAAATATATAAAGTATAATAATTTTATTAATAAATTCTTTTGCCGTCCAACCTCCAAAATCAATACACGCATGATTAAAAAAAGTTGATTCCACTGTACATTTACGGCTTGGTCATTATGATTTTATTTTATTTATATATTAAGTAAAAAATTTCGCTTATTCATTGTTATAGTTTTTTGTCCTAGTTATTTTTTTCCGACTTTTTACTCTAATTATTATAGTTGCTTATATTTTATCAGACTAAACCACTTTGAATTAAAGATCCCAATAAATATTCCCCCTAACCTTCACTGAATTTTTAATTTTGTTTATTACTTGAGTTCATTAGCAAGTACACATATTCTGGAATTTCTGAAAACAAAACGCGGTCACCTAATATGTTACTTTTAGTTTATAAATTTTTTGAAGTGTTAAGATTGCAAATTTATCTCAGAAGTTTTTACTAAAGAGTACTAAGCATTTAGAAGGTTTTTTTAGTACAATTTTTCCAAAAGTTTAAAAACGAAGTAACTTTTCTCCTAACCATCAAAAAATTAACATTGACTATTAAGATAATGACATTAACTATTAATATATTTAATTGCAAAAAGCAGTATTATTATGATTTTAAACTTTTATAATAAATTTGCATTCAAAATAATTTTTGAACGTACAATGTTGCTGAAAGAAAATTTTCAGGACAAATTTGTACTTTAATCTCTCTTTCAGTCAATGATTTTTTTCAGAAGAATAGACCACAATGTATCATATTAGATGCGTTATTCAATATAACTTTTGTACGAGTCGGAGAAATTAACGTTTTCTTTTAACGACTCTCAATAAAATGAGATCATCTTGCATATATTCATGTTATGATAACTCAATAATCATTATTAGTTATTACCTCTTGTTCTAATATAAGAACAAGTTGAGAGTTGGATTTACAACTATATATAATATCTTAATCCATTTAGTTTTAATATAGTCATATTTATAATTTTTCTCCAAACTAATTTACCTAACTTATAAACTAATATAACCCAGTGTTATATAAAAATATTTTAAAAAGATTATGTCACACTTCTTATAATTAGTTAATTAATTTGACTGCCTTAATACATCCAAATTAATTAAATGGCTCTTATATTAAGAATTAGATGAAGTAGTTTATTATTTAACAATACAAAAAGTCATCTAGAAATATTCACGAAGGAGCACCCAGAATCTAAAAGTTTTTTTTTTCCACTCTTATATGTTTTGAAAGTTTTATTTTGTACCATTTTTGTGTTAAACCGTTATCCTCCATTAAGTTTGACCATCAACGATACCCATCAAACTTCATAATTTAATAGTCAAACTCAACAGCGGATAATAGCAAGTATATTTTTGCTACAAAGTTAAACTTAATCAACAATATTTTATCTAGAATCTGAGCTGGTCATACAAAGCTTTAATACAGAACTTCTTAAAAGGTCTTGAAAATTTATTTTGCGTAATGACTTGGGCAGATTAATAATTAATGTTCACATATTTTTGGTTGGTTAATTAAATTGATGTGAAAACCTGAATCCATGTTTGTTAGCTTTGTTTATTTTTTATAACTAAAAATTGATTGAGTCCGGCGATTTTTTATTTGTTTAGGCGACTACTTTTAATGGGTGGCAAAAGAGGTGACTACTTTTAATGTCTCATCTTTAGAAGGTGCAGAATTTACAACCGATAATTGTCTCTCTGCAATTAACGCAACCTGCGTAAAGTGCCAACAAGAAAGGGATTTTTATTTAGTGAAAGGAAAAGTATCTTTGAATGTGCTGACATGATTTTTTTTGAACCAAAATTTTAGGTAGGGATTTGGGCTCAACACAAATCAAAAGGCAGGGAACTTGAAGGGCTTTTAAGTGATACTAATGTTGACATGATTGTTAATAGAATGAAATGGAAAGTAGGCAATGAAACATATATCTCTATACCACCCTATCTGCTGGCCAAGGCAAGTTAGGATTGTTAACCCTTCTAATATTAGTAGGTTTTCAGACCTTTTAATGCATGCTCCAGACTTTTTGAACCTAGTTCAATGGAATCGTTCCTTGTTACATAATTTGTATTCCTCTTCCATTGCTAGTATTATTTCTCGTCTACCTATTTCTGTCACAGCTCATATTGATCAATTATCCTGGAATGACAAGTTATTTGGAAGTTGTGAAGTAAAGGATGGCTTTCCAATTTATGCTTCGGCTTCAAATCTAATTGACCCTCACTTTGATCCTTTCTGGAAATTACTTTCGCCTATTTCACTTCCTTTTAAACAACTGTTGTTTAATGTTATTCTTCCCTTCAAAATACTAAGGAAGCATCATTACAATGTGTTTGGTGAATGTCTCTTCGATGTAATCATGAGGAAACTCTAGATCACTTATTCACCGCCTGTCCTTGTGTCAAATCATTATGGTTTGGTTGTTTCCCAATCCAGTTCAATTCCTCTTCCTTCTCGGATTTCAGGGTATGGCTAAAAGATACTTTAAGCCAACGTCATAAGGATGGAGAAACATCTCTCATGCAGCGCATAATTATTCTCATCAATGTTATTTGGGCAAAATGCAAATGGGCTTTGCATCATGGACAAATCATTCAGCTTTCAAGAGTTGGCCATTAGGGAATTTTTAGGAATGGTTTCATTTGTTGCTCTTCATCTACACAGATTCAAAACTGTTCTATCAAAGGTTGTTATTAAGCATATTACTCTAAATAAAGGGGATTTTAACATCAAGGATTGGATCATCATTCTTCATAAGCTGAAAGGAAGGAAAGGCAGCAATAATTCCATTTCAGTTGGAAAGTGCAGTCAGATGTTTGGGGTAGTATAAGTGATCAAGGGGTGGTAACTCATATCACAGGAGGAAACTATGTGCAGAGTTCCATTACCATTAATGAGTGGCTCTGCGATTTCTTATGGGCACAGGCATCCCAGGTAATTCAGTCTTACGGTTCTTCATTATTTGCATATGGCCTTTTTAACATCAAGGATTAGATCGTCATTCTTCATAAGCTGAAAGGAAGGTAAGGCTGCAATAACTTTCATGCCATGATATGTTTTGAGGGTTCGATAGTTCATCAATTCAATTTGGGGAATGTTGATTCAGCAAATTCCTTTTTACACTATCACTGCCTCAGATATACGTTACAGCTATCCTTGACCACAACCACACTACAAATTTGATGTATAAACAAGGCATTCCTCCCTATGGAAATTCTTCAATTAGATCACATCAATGTGGTGATTCAAGACATCAAGACCTGTTTAAAGATTTCCTTTCGCTCACCCGTGGTACTTCTACTCCTAGTTCCTTAAAAACACTTAATTTGTTGCATTTTAGTTTTGTTTCTTTTATTTCTCTGTAAGACTTGATAATTTATTTATATCTCTTGTCTTTCTCCCCTAAAAAGGACCAATTAATTTTGATAAAACATAAAATCGCTCATAAAAAATTAAATATAATATATCAAATTATATTTTTTAAAATCAAATTTTTTTGTATTGTTTTAATATGATCAATTTAACCCCGAATTGACCCCAATTACTATCTCGACTCTAGTTTTTTTAACCTTGGTTTATTGTTAAGGATTTTCTCTCTATGGTCTGAAATCCTTTCAACTAGCTGACAAAAAAAAAAATCCTTTCACCTAATTTTTGTTCAGGATTTAACAAAATGAGCCCATCACTGAACCATCCACTCTATTTGTACTAAAATTTCGGCACTTCTTCCAATTCTTATTCCACGTAAGATTGTGTGCTAATTCAAGAGAACTCACAAGTCTTAAAATGCAATATTCAAACCTGAAAGAACAAAAGCAGAAGCTACCGCAGAATAATGAGGAAATAAACGAACACGGGCTTAAAAGTAATGGCAAAATCCACCAACTGGGATACCTTAAAATGCAAACACTAAACTTCGTCTTCATGTATAAATCTTGAAACATTCT